GGTGCGTGGCGGCGGCCAGGGTCGCCGTGATGGACTGGTTGACGAAGAAGGTGAGCCCCGCGGAGGCGACGTGCTCCATCAGGTTGTAGCCCACCTTGAGGTCCTTGAGGGCCTTGTAGCCCACCTCGGCGAGGTGGTCGGCGGGGCCGATGCCGGAGTGCATCAGGATGTGCGGCGAGTTGATGGCGCCCGCCGAGAGGATGATCTCTTTCCTGGCCTTGATGACCCTCCACTGGCGGTTCTTGGTCATCTCGATGGCCGTGGCCGTCATGGTGTTGGGGTCGATGAGGACCCTCGTCACGCGGCACTTGATGGCGATGTGCAGGTTCGGCCGCTTCCTGCGCGAAGTAGGAGAACGTGAGCATGCGCTGCACAGTGGGCCAGAAGACCGGTGGAGGCGGCCAAAATTCTAGACGCGTTTTGAGCCCCAGAGCCGCTGAGTGGGACTCAAACCGAACGTGTGATCCCACCAATGGATTGCGCTCCGAACGAGGAATCTATAGGTGGGGTCACACGCACTGACCTGATGGGGCGCAGGAAGGCGTTGGGTCCGTTGATGCGGCGGCCGCCGTGCATGTTGGCCTGGATCCTGGAGAAGCCCTGGCTGTTCTGGTCGGGGTCGTTGTAGTCGATGGCGCTGTATCCCTGGTACAGGCCGCCCTGCACGAAGGCGTCCACCAGCGGCGTCTTGTGGGGCACCCTCTCCACGGACAGCGTGCCGTTGTGGTTGTGGTACCTGCCATCAGCTCGCGTGTCGGAGGGTTCCGGCCCATGACTCGCCATGAGTGCGAGAGAGGCACCCTTCATTCCTTACTTGGAGTCCTTGAGCTCGGGGATGAGGTTCCTCTCCATCTTCATGAAGTGCGGCAGGACGTCGTCGTAGGACCAGCCGTAGTTGCCCAGCTCGGCCCACTCGTCGTAGTCGCGGCGCTGGCCGCGCGTGTAGATCATGTAGTTGATGGTGGAGGTGCCGCCAAGCACCTTGCCCCTGGGCCACGGGCACCGCCTGCAACAACCGTCACCATGCCGTCAACACGCCGTCGTGGGCCTCGGTGACCGAGAGCGACGATTACGCACTGGTTGTCCATGCCCAGGCACGCGCCCTCCTGCTTCTCCATGGAGTAGCCCCAGTTGTAGCCGGTGAGCTGGAACTCGTCCACGATGAGGGGTATCTCGGACACGATGCTGTCCTCCTCGCCGGCCTCCAGCAGCAGCACCTTCCACTCGGGGTTCTCGGTCAGCCGGTTGGCCAGGACGCTGCCCGCCGAGCCGGCACCCACCTGGAACACGGATGCGTGTCACTCGTCTCCGCTAGCCAATTTGCCCCCCTCGCGTGTGGCGGTGACAGGTCGTCGCACCCGCCACGTCCAGTTATTATCACTTTTTTGCCCGATCGGCCGGACGACTGTTTTGGCGCGTGATGCATTCAGCTCATGGGCAAAGAAATTGAGAGTGTAACGGACGTCGCGGTGTCGTGGGGGCATTGCCCCCTCGCGATCCCCGCCGCCCGCCTCCTCCCCCTCGTTAACGGGTTCCTCGGCGAGCCCCGCCAGGCCAGGGCCCCGCCAGCCAGGGCCCCGCCAGGGCCCCGCCAGGGCCCCGCCAGGGCCGCGTCGTCAAGACCTGCCTTGGCCCTGGCGGCCTGGTGCAGGGTCGGGAGGGAGGGTTGCGTGCGCTCGTCTGGACCCGGCGGCTCCGGGGCCCGGCTCCGGTGGCTTGCGAATGCCGGAGACTCCGGCCCACTCCGACCGGCAAGGGCACGCAACATTCAGTCGCCCCGCGCGAATGTGTGTACCGCAAAAAAACAACAAAAAAAACTTTGAATTTTTGACGCACTTAAGACGAGCGAACTGGATTTTTATTTGGGTCTTAGCTAGCTGCTGCTTGATCTCACTCACGTCAGGTCTTAAATATTTGCTCTGCATTTTTATCTTTTTTTTAAAGGAGTTAATTTGAGAATTTTTTTCAGAGTGAATTTTTAATGTCCGTATGTCAGTTATAAAGAAAGATTCCACCCAGGGAGTTCCCCATAAAAAGTGCATGATCCGCTAACCGCACTCGCTGGCGGCCAGCGCGACAATGTCGACGGAGGGGCGGTAATTTGTACAGTGCGGTGGCGGTCCGAGGAAGTAGCGCCATGCCACTTACGCGGGCCGCCAGCGAGTGGAGCGAGAACGGTAAAGAGAGCCCTGTCGCACTTACGATGATGAAGTCATACTCGGCCAGGATGGGCTTGTTGCCGGTGAAGGGGTGCTCCCGGAAGGGCAGCACGGCCTCCTTGTACTGCTGCTGGGCGGCCGTGAGGAAGAGCAGCCCCAGGGACGCGACCAGGGGCACGGCCACGGCCACCACCGCCACCACCAGGGCACAGCGCGCGCCGCGCGCCCGGGGAGCATCTGCGGATGGGGACGAGGGCTTGTAGACACTGCGGACTCGACCGCCGTGTCCCTGTCTCACTCACAGGGCGTTGCGCAGGGGTGCGAGAGAGACACGGCGACGAAAGCACTGCTGGGTACCACTCACCGTGTGGTCTGCTGGAGCTAGTGCTTCGCGTGCTTCGCGAGTCGCGCTGCCACGGCCACGCTCTTGGACGCGCGCAAGCCTTCCCCGCCGAGTGGGCCGAGTGCCGGGATCTTTTGCGCGCAGGGAAGCAGGGACGCGACTGAGGAGTTGGTGGCCGTCGCAGCCCAGGTGTCTGCCGGCCAAGTGCCACGCCGGCCCGCCCCGGTACGCCCCCCGCCCCGCCCCGCCCCCCTTACCCTTCCCTGCCCTGCCCGCCCCGCCTCACCTTACCCTTCCCTTCCCTGCCCGTCCCGCCTCACCCCGCCCCGCCCCGCCCCGCCCCGCCCCGCTTACGGATTCGACAGATGGGGGTCAGCCCCGATAGGGTACATCTCGCCAGGTGATATGATTCTGCGGGCCGCCATGTGATTAACGGCACCGGCCTAGCCAGGGCGGCCAGGGCGGCCAGGGCGGCCCCCCGAGGAGCTACACTTTAAGGCAGGGGCGCCTTTCGCCGCCTTCCGGGACTCCGTGACGTCAACCGCTCGGCATAGTTCCGCGGCCAAAATAAAAAGGCGAGCCAGGGCGATGAAAAGCGACGAGGCGTTGATCTCCGCTGACCCCGATTCGCACTGTTTTGACTGGATCCCATAACTGATAACGGCGGCCAGGAACGCGCGCCAGGAAGCAGGTAACGGGTCTGGCTGGATCTGGGCGACGTGCGCGTCCCGGCGCGTCCCGGCGCGTCCTCCAGACGCTGCAGACACACCTCCAGACCGGCGGGCTTCGCGACCGCGCGGCTCGGCCTGTGGCTCCGCCCCTGCCGCTCCGCCAGCACGCGGTGGACCTCGCGGTGGACCTCGCGGCCCACTTCCCAGACCCGCCGGCTCAACGGCCCGAGCACACTTTTGGCCGGCGAACTCATTGAGCTTGAACCTCGCGGATAGACCGTGTCACCTGCCGTCTAGCTGGGGACACATTTTTAGCAGACGATACCTCTACTTCTCAGCGCCAGGTTTAATTTAGGACCTGCCGTTTGTACTCTAGGCGTGGATATGTTGACGGATCATGTTTACAGACAGTCTGTTTTCAAGGACGAAATTATAATGGCGAATGACGATACCCACAATGGGCCGTAGGTCCCCTTAATTAGCAACCTGTTTCGTTTTCGCACGGCCTTTCCGAGCCGGCAATAAGGCAGGCTGTTTTGGGACGGTGAATTCTGTACGACGCGCGCCTTCAAGACCGCCCCCTCCCCCCAATCGCTGTGCAAACACTTTGTTCTGCTAAAAGCGTGGCGCGCTATCGGTAGTGAATGGGCGTGTGTGCCGCGCGTGCCCCGTGGCGAGGCTAGCCCGCACTTTTTGGCGGACGCGCGCGCGTCTATCAGTTGACCGACTTCCGAACCGCCCGAATCCGAATCCCAATTTGGACCAAAGTGCCCCCCTCCGTATCTGCGGTGTCCCGTTTCCCGTTTCAGACTCACTACTACGGTCGCTCCTCCTCCTGCCGCGAGAGTGCTGCCGGCTGCAGGTCGATTCCGAACCGCGGCTCGCATCTGTCTCTCTCGCACTCGTGCGGCCCGCCGACCCTCCGTGCGAGTGCGAGAGAGACAGAAGCACTGGTCGGAAGCGCGCCGCGCGCGGCGAGAGGCGGCTGCCGGTCCATCAGTTGGCGGTCATTGCCATCGCAGAAGTGCGTGTTCGTGTGTGCGAGCGTGTGTGTGCACCAACACTGGCTTTAGTGTCTTTGTCGATGTACCCCATCGCACTCGAGCAGGAAGTGGCATTGGAAAAAAAGAGGTGCTAAACTGTGGTGCAAATGAGAGGTGCCAATATTGCTCGGCCAGGAAGAAGAAGGGCGATGTATGACCGCCTCGTTTATTGGCGGGTCTTCTCCTCAAATGGGGAGTACGTGCGTGCGTATGTGTGTGTCTGTGTGTGTGTATGCGTTTGTTTGCCCGTGTTATGCGGTACCCTGCAATTGCCTTGCATCATCCGGGCGCCCCGCGCTGCGACGCGCTGCCTCTCCGGGCCGCCGGGCCGGGCCGCTGCACCGTTCGAAGGTGCCGCCTGGTGGCGCTTCGCTTTTGGCCTCACCCTGACCCATTAGCACCGAGCGAGCCCCTATCGCCTTCGGGCCTTCGGGTCGCCACGCATTGTTTGCACTTTCATCCTCGCTGCAAGGTCGAAGGGGCCTCGAAGGGGCCGAGGAGGGCGAAGGGTGGCATGGGTCAAGGCTACCACCATCTCGGCCAAATTCACCAGCGTACTATACAGCAATACAAGGGGTAACCAACTCAAAATTCTCACACTGAATTATGTCTTAAAATTATAGATAATTTATTTACTGCATGTGGCAAGCGGCGAAATTTTTCAACAAATTTATTTTAATGAATCACAATTTACAAGGTTTTTTTTTTGCAGTCCACTCACGTGGTTCACTGGAATGCCCGTGAACATGAAGACAAAAGCAGGTTTCCGCAAGGGGGCTAAACCTTTTTTTTTTTTTTTTTTGTACCGTTACTGCATCGTGTCGGACTTGCCCAACAGTCCTGGCCACTGTATGGCCGCTGTACGGCGGGTGGACGGAGCGATCCGAGTGCTGCTCTCGTCGCTCTGTCTCTCTCGCACCCCTGCCGGACGCCCCAACGAGTGCGAGAGAGACAGAGCGACGCCGCCGCCAAATGAGCTCGGAGACGGGCTCCGCGTCGGCAAGGCGTCGATGGGGGGCTGCTTGTGTGTGATTCAGGGGAGCGGTTTGTCGCTCCGTCTCTGTCGCACCCTTGCCGAGAGCTCCGCGAGTGCGAGAGAGACAGAGCGACGGAACCACTCTGCCGTAACGGGCCGCGCGGGCCGTTTGGATTCCGCGCAAGGCGATGTCCCGCGCGATTTTGTACTCCGTCGTCCGGTCTCTAATTGGTCGTGGCGGTAGGGTAGTCGTGGACTTGTCGGGACTTTGAACGGCGAACGCGCTGCCGAATTAAAAACTCGTCCTCGCCGGCCGCGTTCCTGCATCTCCAGGTTTCGGAACGGTCTGAACGGGAGGCCGGGCCGGAGGGCGCCGTCAGGGCCACACCACACTGTTAGAAGGGGGTTCGAAATCGGACCGTGCCACATCTAGCTCAATTTTCGGCGGTGGAAAGTTCGATTTACGCATTGTGGCTTCGAAAACAGACGACCCAGGTCGGAAATCAGGCTAAATGCGGTGCGATCTGATTTGGCCCCGTCCGAAAATCGGACCACCCTCTACCAGTGCAGTCACTCTGGTGACGGTCTGCTTGGCGACGTCGGCGACCTCGTCGACGGTGCCCTACTCGACGGGCGCGCCGTGCTCGCGCCGGCCCCAGTCCTCCTTGATGATGTCGGCCGCCTTCTCGGCGATCATGATGACGGGGGCGTTGGTGTGTCCGGCCGGGATGACGGGGATGACGGAGGCGTCGACGACGCGCAGCCCCCGCACGCCGTGCACGCGCAGGCGGGGGTCGACGACGGCCTCGGCGTCGCCCTCGGGGCCCATGCGGCACGTGCCGCTCTGGTGGTAGATGGTGAAGGTGAGGTGCCGCGCCGCGCACCCCCAGTACGCGTCCGAGCCGAAGCCGTACCTGGAACACGGATTGCGCGGTCACTTCCGGGATCGGTTCGACCGCCAAGCGGTTCAAGCTGCGCGTACCTGGCGCACGCCGGGATGGGCACGTCGTGCAGGCGGGTGCCGAACTTGCGGAAGGGCTCGGACTCGGCCACCTGGATGGCGCGCTTGACGCCCTCGATGATGACGTCCAGGTCCTCCTGGTGCTCGAAGTAGTTGGGGTAGATGGCGGGGGCCTTGAGCGGGTCCCAGCTGCGCAGCGTGATGCGGCCCTTGCTGCGCGGCCGCAGCAGCATGGGGAACACCATCCAGCTGTCCAGGGCCTCGATGGGCTTGTACACGGCCTCGTACAGCTTGGGGTCGATGCCGAAGGCCTTGTGCAGCACCGGCTCCGACGTGAGCGAGCCGCCCTGGAAGAGCAGCTCCAGGTCCGGGTAGCCGTCGGGGTCGTCGGGGTGCTGCAGGTCGTAGAAGGCCACGGCCTCGCAGCCGCCCGGGATGGACGCGGGGCCCGTGTGGTAGCTCAGGTAGTCGCTGAAGAAGCGCGGGTCGCTGTAGACGCGGTCGCCGCGCAGCGACACGCTCTGGTTGACGACGAACGTGAGTCCGCCCAGCGCGATGTGGTCCTCCAGGTTGCGGCCCACGCCGGGCAGGTCGTGCAGCACGGGCACCCCCACGGCCTCCAGGTCCTGCCGCGGGCCCAGCCCCGACAGCATGAGCAGCTGCGGAGAGTTGATGGCGCCACCGCACACGATGACCTGCAGCAGGACGTCTGGTCAGCCTCGAAGTTGTCGCACAGTGGGCCAGAAGACGAGCACCGGTGGCCCAAACTCTAGGCGCGTTTTGAGCTCACCGAAAGAGGAATCCATTGGTGGGGTCACACGTTCGGTTCGAGTCCTATTCAGCGACTCTGGAGCTCATAACGCGTCAGGCATTTTGACCGCCTCCACCGGTCTTCTGGCCCACTGTGAACAAGGCGCCCGTGGGATACCGTCCCGCCGGGCCGCGCTGTCGGATTGGCTGCCCCCCTCGCAGGCGCACGCGCCACGCGGCGCGCCCGATGGGTGGCCGGGGACGCGGGGGGCAACGGGCAAGCCGAAGCACTCACCTCCTTCCTGGCCAGCACCGTCACGTTCCGGCGGCCCGCCTGGTACTGCACGCCGTAGGCCTGCTTGAGCACGGGGTGCACCAGCACGCGCGTGACGAGCGCCTGCTTGCGCACGAACAGGTTCCTCCTGTTGCGCACGGGGTTGATGTAGGCGCGCGCCTCGCTGACGCGCGTGCCGTTGAGCATGCTCACCTGGGCGGCATGGACGGCATGGACAGCGGGTTATTGATTGATGGAGGAAATGGGGGCGTTTATCGTGACTTGACGGATCCGTGCCGCGCAGTCCGCGCACACAAAGCCGCCGCTATCTTGTATCTATGATTGAGTTTCACGGTTCCTCCCCTGGACTGTCGCTCTGTCTCTCTCGCACTCATGGGGCACTCCGCAGAGGTGCGAGAGAGACAGGCGGAGTCCGCGTACCTGGAGGTAGGCGAAGCCGGTCTGCGTCTTGCCGTTGTAGTCCTCGACGACGCGCTGCCCGGTGGCGGGGCCGGCCTGCACGAAGGCCTCCGCCAGCGGCGTGCGCCACGACGGCATGGTGACGGGGTGCGGGCCGCGGTCGCCGCGGAAGCGCGGGTCGCCGGCCACGTCGCGGTGCACGGACTCGCTCTTGCGGAAGTAGGGCAGCACGTCGGCGTAGGACCAGCCCTCGTTGCCGCGCGCCGCCCAGCCGTCGTAGTCGCGCCGGTTGCCGCGCGAGTGGATCATGAAGTTGAGCAGCGAGGACCCGCCCATGGCCTTGCCTGCGGCGGGAGGTATCCTTTGCACAGTGGGCCAGAAGACCGGCGGAGGTGACCAAAACTCTCAGACGCGTTTTGAGCTCCAGAGTCGCTAAACGGGACTCGAACCGAACGTGTGACCCCACCAATGGATTCCTCGTTCGGAGAGCAATCCATTGGTGGGGTCACACGTTCGGTTCGAGTCCCTTTTAGTGACTCTAGAGCTCAAAACCGGCGCAAAATTTTGTGCTCACTGGGTGTTGGCAGTGCTTCTGCCCCTCTCTCCCCACGAGTGCGACAGAGAGAGAAAGAGGCATGCAGGGAGTAGGGCAGGGCGGCCAAGTGCGGGCTAATTGCTTTTCGGGGGGTTTCGACCCAACACACTCATCAGGCCCGGCAGGGCGGGCAGGGCGGCGCCGTGGGTCGGTAGGGGCCACTTCCGGCGCCGTGTCCGCCAGTGTGCCAGTGTGCCCCCACCCCCTGCAGGGCCTGCAGGGCCGAAGGGCGGCGGCGCCATCGATCGACTTGTTGCCGGCGCCCCGCGCGCCCAGCATAGCGATGCTCTGTCTCTCTCGCACCCACGCGGCACGCCAGGCACGCGCCGCGAGTGCGAGAGAGACGGAGCGACGCGACTCACCTCGGGGGAAGTTGCAGCGGCGGCCCTCCATGCCGAGGCACGCCTGCAGGTTGGGCTCCGTCTTGTACTTCCAGTTGGCGTCGCTGAACTGGATGTAGCTCGCCACCAGGGGGATGTCCATGACGAAGCTGCCGCTGCGGCCCGCCTCCAGCAGCAGCACCCGCCAGTCGCCCTCCTGTGACACGTGACACAGTGGGCCAGAAGACCAGGCGGCCGAAATTCCAGACGCGTTTTGAACTCCAGAGTCGCTAAATGGGACTCGAACCGCGCGTGTGACCCCACCAATGGATTGCTCTCCGAACGAGGAATCCATTGGTGGGGTCACACGCTCGACTCGAGCCCTGCTTAGCGACTCTGGAGCTGAAAACGCGTCTGGGGTTCCTACAGTGCGGTGGCGCTTACCTCGGTGAGCCGGTTGGCGAGGACGCTGCCCGCCGTGCCCGCCCCCACGATGATGAAGTCGTACTCCTTGGCGGACTGGCCCTGCTCCGGCGTGTCCTGCTGGCTGCCCGACTGCTGCTGCGCCGCGAACATGAGCATGGTGCTCTCCAGGATGCTGAGGGGCTTGTCGTCCTGCTCGTGGTCGTCGCGCGCCGCGGCCGCCTGCAGCAGCGCCGCCGCCAGCAGGAGCGCCAGCAGGCCCTGCAAGCCCAGAGGGATGTCCGAACTGTCTCTCTCGCACTCATGGGGCGTCCCAGGCCGTCGGCGGCTTACCGTCGTGGTGCGCATGGTGTCGCTCTGCACGCGCGTCACGGCCGTGTACTGGCCCTTCTTGGAGTAGCGCCGCGGTCGGGGCCCCGCCGCCTCGCCGGCATCGCTGACGGTGTAGTTGCTGAGCCCGCGAATGCGCGCCCCGCGTCTCCAGGCTGTCTGCTCAGCTGGTCTCCCTGGGAGGAGTGACCGCCGTGGCTCGGCTCAGCCGGTACTGGTGTACGTGCCCAAACGATTCGAAACTGAGTCTGCCTGGTGCACTGTGACCTGCTGCGTCCGTCTGTCGTGGGTGTGAACTTGTCTCCCAGTCTGGAACCAGGAACTGACATGTCGTGTGTTGCTTGCAGGTGAGTGCCATATGCCTGTGCGCGGAAGTTCCAGGCGGCTGCGTCGCCGGCAGGTAGGCAACCCAACGTACGTCACCCAGACGAGAGTCTCCGCTCACGGGCGGGCTGTGGCGCGCTCTGGCGGTGTTGTGGCGAACCTCTGAGACGCCGCCTTAAGTCAGTGCACGCGCATGCCGCTTTTGGAGGGTGCTTTATGCCTCTCGACATGATTTTTGGTTTTGTGAATATTTTCTAGTAAAGCTAAGTGTCTGGCTGGCTGGATGAGTTAATTGAGGTGACTTCTCGGATATCGTTTATTTCTTCATTACACTTTTATTTTATCACACCGGCGTATCAATGACACTGCAGATATCGGCCACGCGTGACTAGTCGGTCTGCAGGGATGACTCACTTATTCAAAACGGCTACATCGGCAATTCAATAGCAACAATTTTTAAAAACATCAAAGACAAGTAGAAACAAGAACAAAACAAGTACAAATTTCCCCTTAAATTTTTTTTTTAAAAAAAGGTTGAGTTGAACATGACCAGAGGCCGTAGGCGCCGCGGGGCGGAATTTTGTCTTTCCCCCTCACGTCCGAGGAGGACATGGTCGAGGTTGTCGCCGAGGCGTGCCGTGCCGTACCGCACCGCACACAATGCCACTCGGGGCAGCCAAAAAGTTTGTGACGATTGTGTTGGCGGCACTGTTACGTCGACACGCTTTGTGTACTCGGCGACAAGGCGACACACGCGGCCCTCGGCTTGCCCTCTCCTTCCTCGTTGCCGTCGTCTCGGTTCTCTTTTAAATTTTTTTTTACAATTGTGATTAAATTTGTTTAAAAAGTTAAACTAACTACATTTTACATTCATTTTCTTAAAAAAAATTAATTTTATCTGGTATGCTGCGGACGAGTGAACACATAGTGACGTACTTACAACAATAAGAAATTCCCGCCTTCTACACCAACAATTTAAGTCTTTAAAACCGCCTAGTTTCCGCGAGGCGCGTTTGGCACAAGTTAACCTACCTAGCTCCACTAATTATCGCTACGACTTAACTGTTTCATTAACTGACTAAAAGCGTCACGGTAACTGCTCGTCTTACTCTAAATTTGTTGCTAGGCCTTAAAAGTAGTGATGGTAACTTTACGCTACGGTCTACCTTCATCAACTAGTTTTTGAATGGATACAATTTTTGAATCGTGGCAGTCGCACTGGTTGTTCAAGTATTTGCGAAAGTAATTGTAGCCTTCGTTACAAAAGTTTTAAGAAACTTAAGCGTAATTGTACATCGATCAGCACTTTGCTATTTACAATTGGTTTTTGTCCTACAAAATAACTTGAGAGTGCCGTGCCCTCCGTGGCGTTCGGAAAGACAACAAACCCGTCCAATTTGGTAGTAGAAGAAATAGGCAATAAAAAACAACAGCTGTGCTCTATACTCAATAACGCACACACACTCTCGAGCACAAACACACTCACACACACTCACTCACTCACGCACATACTGCGTTTCTGCGGCCAATATTTCGCCATGACTGTCCCGAACCGGCGGCGCGGGAACCGCATTACTTTTACGAACGTTCTGCTGCACCGCATTGATTGAGTTTGTTGTTGTTGTTTGGAGGTCGTTCCAGGAAGCGCTTTGCAGTGGCGCGGCCGCGCGGCCACGGAAAGGCCTTCGGGCGTTCGCTCTCTTTTTCACGAGGGTCCGTCCGTAGACGACAAAGGAACAAAAGCGAAGGAATTTTAACACAGGCGTGAAAAAAACTAATTGACGGGCACAAGGTTACTTTGTTGACCGTTTTGGCTTGTTTGTCGGACCGTCAATACTGATTGACAAAATACGAGAGGGCCGGCCGTGCCCGTGGACTAGATTGCCATGCCGAGGAGCGCGCCTGCAGCGCGTCCTTGCACCGTGAGATCCGCACACCCGTGTCGCCGTGTCGTCGTGCAGGCCGGGGGCCTTGGCGGCCTTGGCGGGCACCCCGGCGCGGCCCGCGGCTACCGCACGCCCCAGTCCTCCTTGATCATGTCGGCGCCCTTCTCGCCGATCATGATGGTGGGGGCGTTGGTGTTGCCGGACACGATGGTGGGCATGATGGAGGCGTCGATGACGCGCAGCCCCTGCACGCCGTGCACGCGCAGGCGGGGGTCCACGACGGCGGCCTCGTCCCAGGCGGGGCCCATCTTGCAGGTGCCGGCCGGGTGGTAGATGGTCATGGTGATGTGGCGGATGGCGCACTCCCAGTAGCGCTCCGTGTTGAAGCCGAACTTGGCGCACGTGGGGATGGGCAGGCGGTGCAGGCGCGACCCGAACGGCCGGAACGAGTGGGCGCCCGCGATGCGGTGCGCGAACTTGACGCCCTCGATGAGCGTCGCCATGTCGCGGGGGTCGTCGAAGTAGTTGGCCTGGATCACGGGGTAGTGGAAGGGGTTCTTGCTGCGCAGCTTGATCCAGCCTGGAACAGAGAGGGCGGTGAGCGCCTGCGAGGCGTGGCGGTAGGCAGCCCGCTGCGTCGCCGTGCGCGGCGGGCCGGCCCACCCTGGATTGGTAAGGCGCTCGGCTCCCTGGCCGCGTTCCAGGCCGGCCAGTATTGCGAAGCGGCCGGGCCGGGCCGCGCGCGCCATGATGTATTGCGATTGTGAAAGTACACGTGTCCGCGTCCCTGTTTACACACGTGTTGGTGTGTCGCGGTCGATGTCGCAGTGGAGTGGAGGGTGCGACTCGGACGGTGGCGGCGTTCGAGCTCTGTCTCTGTCGCACTCGCGGCGCGGCCCTTGAGGGTCTCTGCCGGGGGTCGTCGCGCGCCCCGGTGGCTCCGCGGTTTCGGATCGGCACCTGGCCGCCGCACTTGTCGGTCGGCGTGTCGCGGCCGGCGTTGCTGCCGGCGTGTGCCCGCCCATGCGAGTGTCAACTTACAGCATCGGCCGAGCCGCGCTTATGTCACGACCTGCGCTGCCCACTAGGTGGCGCCCACCGGGCGGGGCGGGGCGGGGTGCGGCGGGGTGCGGCGCTAGGAAGGACTGTGCCTTCCTTTTCCATATCCTACCTGATAATAGGCGCGACCCCGTTTCGATCGGCGTGCCCACACGTACGGACATTGCTGGACGACGCGCCCACCCCGCCCCGCCTCGCCGCACCCCGCCGGCACACAACGCCCCATTACCCCCCCCCCCCCCTCCCCTCGCCGAGGCCCCAGCGCCGCGGCAGTCTTTACTTATTGATTCCAATCGGCCCAGTGCCCCGCGCAGACACCTGTCGGGCTCTGGTTTTTATGAGGCCACAATTACATGCTTCGTGTTTGGGGGCTGAGCCACGCGCACTGCGTGACCCCGCTGAAAGTATCAGAATATATTTCGAAACAGCTGCGTTTTCTCGGAATGAAGGACTGACCTCTGGAGTAGGGCCGCAGCAGCAGCGGCAGCAGGGTCCAGGTGTCGCGGTTGGCGATGGGGCGGTACACGGCGTCGTACACGCGCTCCGTGATGCCCAGGATCTTGCGCACGCGCACGCCGTCGTCCGAGTTGATGGAGGCGGGCGCGAAGTGGAACTGGATGTCGGGCCAGTGGTCGGAGCGGTTGGAGTACTTGGTGTGCACGAAGGCCAGGCCCTCGACGCCGCCCAGCGTCGTCATGGGCCCCCGCTCGCGCATCACGTACTGCGTGGTGATGGCCACGGGCTGCGGGCAAGGCGAAGCAGGGCGTCAGCGTGCTGCTCTGGGCGCGGGCTGTACCTCATGCATCCTGTCGGTGCGGCTCGTCGGGGTGTTTGTTCCTGCTCGTCGGCCGCGGTCTCAGTCCGGGGTGGCGGTGCGTGGTGGGAGGCACTTTGGGCGGCGCCTGTACATGTGCGATCTGGCGGAGTGCGGCCGAGTGGCGGTGGGAAAGGCCGAATTGGCCTAAGTGGCTCGCTCACTTTCCTCGACATGCAGGCCTCCACCTTGGCCGGCCCCTCTGGCTGCCCCTTTTAACCTTTTGGGCCGGGCCGGGCCAGCGACAACCAACTCACTTCCCTCCCGGCGGCGTCGAAGTCTCTACGTCGACGCGCGCTCTTACCTGGATTCCTGTTCGTCTCCGTTGTTAGGTCAAGGGTCAGTCAAAGCAACGGAGGGCCGATCCTGATACTCACTCGACAAACAACAAGCACGCCGAGTTCCGTCAACAAGTAAAGGAGTCATTAGACAAGTCAACACAAGGGCGTCTGCGAGACGTTTACTGTACGTGGCGGGTGCGTTTAAATGGCGGGATTCCGAAGCGATATGCGGAGGACACGATGAAGTCCGTGAAGCTGAGGTGGCGCCCTCCGAATAGCGCTTGTCGGGTCTCGCCATTTCGAACGTGGACGACTCCCTTTGGGGGCGCGGTCTGTGTACCTGGAACCTGTTCTGCACGATGGTGACGGGCGGGTCCACGAGGAACGTCATGCCCGCCATGCCGACGTGGTCCTGGAGGTTCTCGCCGACGCGGAGGTTGCGCAGCGTGGGGATGCCGACGCGCTGCAGGTGCTCCTTGGGGCCGACGCCGGACAGCATGAGCAGCTGCGGAGACCCGATGGCGCCGGCGGACATGATGACCTGCAACGCGCAGCGTGTGAGGTTCAAGTTTGGCGCCGAGCCCTCTGATTGGCTGCCGGTGACCGCCCTACTGTTCGGCGGCACCGTCAAGTGAAAGCTGTGATGCGTCTGAATATTGATCACGTTGAGAAAGCCTCGGCAAAAAGGCGGCAAACGCGCGTCTGGAGCGTCGCGCTGTGTCTGTCGCCCCGCGGGGGTGCGAGAGAGAGGCTCACCTCCTTCCTGGCCAGGACGACCTGCCGCTTGCCGCCGCGCACGAACTCGACGCCGTACGCCCTCATGGTGGCGGGGTTGATGAGCACGCGCGTGGTGTGCGCGCGCATGGCGATGTGGAGGTTGCGCCGCGTGCGCACGGGCCGCAGGAAGGCCTTGGCAGTGGAGCAGCGCGACCCGCGCCGGATGGTGCCCTGCGCGATCATGAAGCCGTCCTGCAGCTCGCCGTTGATGTCCCGGTTGTCGTAGCCCAGCTCCCTGCCGGCCTGCACGAAGGCCAGCACGAGCGGCGTCTTCCACGGCGCCTCCTGCACCGTCAGGTAGCCGCCGCGGCCGTGGTACGGCGTGCGCGCCAGGTAGGGGTTGCGGTTGTCCTCGCTCTTCTTGAAGTAGTGCAGCACGTTGCTGTAGCCCCAGCCCTCGTTGCCCAGCTGCTCCCAGTGGTCGTAGTCCCGCCGGTTGCCGCGCACGTACAGCATGTAGTTGAGCACGGAGGAGCCGCCGAGGACCTTGCCGCGCGGCCAGTTGCAGCGGCCGCCCTGGAGGGGAGCATCACGTCGATAAGCCACCGCGTCAACCTTGTCAAGCATTTCGTGCACTCCAAGACTGTGTGCCCCTGTCTCACCTTCATGCCCAGGCAGGACTTGCCCGTGGGTTCCGTCTTGTACTGCCAGTCCAGGTCAGTGAGCTGCAGGTACGCAGCCAGCGATGGCACATCGGATATTTCGTTCTCGTCGGGACCCGCCTCCAGCAGCAGCGTGTTCCAGTGTGGCACCTGGAAGCAGAGGAGGAGCGTCAGAAAAAAAATCTTTAACAAAAAAAGTCTTGAATTTAAAAAAAAAAATCGTTTAAAAAATTGAAAAAAAAAATCTTCAAAAAAATTATGTAAAAAAAAATCTTCAAAAAAATTATGTAAAAAAAATAAAAATTGGTGCGTTTGAAGTGAACTTGGCTGACCTCGGAGAGTCGGTTGGCGACCACGGCCCCCGCCGAGCCGCCGCCGACCACGACGAAGTCATACTCCTTGTAGAGGACGCGCTGGTCGAAGGGCTTGCTCTCGGGGTCCACCAGGTCGTAGCGGTAGTAGGCCAGCGAGGCCAGCAGCAGCGGCACCACCCACAGGCTCGTCTTGAAGGCGGCCGTGGCGGCGATGAGACCCAGGATCATGGCGGCCCCTCAGCGCGCCCCTCGTCTTGGTCCTCGTCCTCGTCCGCGTGTCGAGCAGCATGTCTGCCCGCCCCACCGCGCGCCTGCCGCCTCAAACAGGCGTATGCATAGCCCAACCTGCAACACGCAAAAGGCACCGTTTTCAACACACTGTAAAAAAAAAATGTATATGAAACAATTCACATATACATGTAAAGGAATATCACCACACACTTGTATGGCAATTTTCCTATACATCGGTATAGCATCATGACTATACGTGTATAGGGGTTGAAAGTTGAAATTTTTATGACGCCCTGTACTCTGACGTAACTTGGCGTCACCTAATTTAAAGTGGCTGCCCTCGCCTGTCAACTGATTTCCCATGCCCGAAACCGCGACTCACGTCGCTCACCAGACGTGCCAAATACAGAAGGACCCCCCAAACGAATGAAATGCCTTTCCGTGTTGGTTCGCGTCCGTGTGGGTTGCGCGTGTGTGAGTGTCGGAGCGCACCCGCTACACAGCGACATGTATGGGTGTGCGGGTCGCCCACGCGTAAGGCGCGCACAGGAAAGTGAAAAAGGAGAAGGAGGGAGGGGGGAAAAAAGGACCAGAAGGAAAAGAGACGAAGAAACGGGAGCGCAGCACCTAACCTTCACTTTCGCTAGTGTCGTCTGCTTCGCCCTGCCGCGGGCTAGGCCCCTTCCAGGTGCGCACATGTCGACATACGCGGTGGCAGACGCATGTCGCTACGGAAGGAAGGCGGCACGGCACGGCTCGGCACGGCAGGCGACTGTTCTGCTTGTAGCTCTGCGAGAACGGGCCACTCAAGCATCGACTCTGTGCACGGTGCATTGTCATGGTAATCCCGTGCATTTATGGGCGCACTTCATATTCAGGAGAAAGGGCGGCCACACCCGCCACGCGCCCTTGGACAAGCAAAAAAAGAGACAAAAAGGGGGGATTAGTTTGCCGATTTGGACGAGCAGTCCTCCGTTTCCTGAAAGCGCTCGTCGGCTTGCGCAGCGCTGCCGCGGGGGCGCAGGGCTTCCAGTGTGGCAGTGTGGCCAACACAACGAAACGCCACCGCAAGGCTTTGCGCCGGCGCCGCAAAGTGGCGGTTGCGGCCGTTGCAGCGCCGCCAACCTCGCAACGAGATTTATTTGGTTCCGCCCCGGAACGATTAAACACTTGGGGCCGCGTCGCGCCGCGTCCAGTCTCTGGCGCCGCAGACCGGCGCCGGCGGCCGAAACTCTAGACGCGTTTTGAGCTCCAGAGTCGCTAAACAGGACTCAAACTGATAGTGGCTGAATCTACCAAATTAGCCATTTTGTCTGACTTTGGGCGACCACTGCGTCCAATTTAATCACAGCCAAAGGCTTCCCCCAACGCCCTAGTATTCTAAAGGCCCTATTCTTTCGTGCCCCGTGCCGGGAAAGGTATTGACCGCTGATAATTTGGGAGCTGTGGCCTCGCAAAAATGGTCGAAATTCCAGTTTGACGCCGTTTTCCTAGGTATGGTGCGTCGCCTTCCCGGAGTCGTGGTCCGGCCCCTGGCGGTGCGAGAGAGACGGCGCAACAAAAGCCCCGCACAGCCTCCCGACCACGAGAGCAGCGAGTGAACGAGACTCGGCGAGATCCCGGTAGATGGGCTGTCGCTGCATGTCCACGCCGGCGTGTCCCGTTTGCCTGGCGGTGAGGTGGTTTTCCGCCGCTGGAGCGTGCTGGAGCGTGCTGGAGGGAAGGTTGTTTTCTCGCTTTTCCGGTTTGCGTGCGACAGATTGGGAAAAGGGTTGCTGCGGCGCCAGCGGCGGCCGGCGCGGAAGAAAGTGCAAATTATTGTGGGGCTCATCACTATCACTCCCTCGCAGCGCGCGCAGCCAGCGCGCAGCTGGACAGAACACGCCGCCGCTATGCAGGCCGATGCGGTGGAGCGATTCTCTGTCTCTCTCGCACTCGTGGGGCGCTCGGCGCTCTTGGCGGCGGTGCGAGAGAGACAGAGCGACGCTGTGCCTCGCGCTTGTTGCCGCTCGTTGCGGCGCAGGAAGTTGGCCGATATGTCTCGCCGCGCCGTGCCGCGCCGTGCCTCGCCCTGCCTTGCCGCCATCGACGGACTAGTGCTCGTATTTTCCCACCCACGTTTTTTTTGCACTTTTATTTTTTCATCATTCTCGCTGCGAATCGTGCTGCCCTGCGCTGCTGGTCCCGAGGCGTAAAAGCTTGGCAGTGTGCCGGCCGCGAGTAGCACCTCCTCGCCGTGGTGCCCACTTACGCAGTAAATATTTTGTTGCCGTCTTAATTTTTGCAGCGAAAGGAAGTCATTGCCGCTAGGGGAAGTTTACTACTTTGGACATAAAAATGCCTGCTGAGCGACCTGGCTGTGATTCGATGTTATTGTCCCTCTTCAGCTCATGATTAACGGTGGCTGTCGATCAAAACAACAGCAAATACCAAAAAAGGAAAATTAAAAAAAAATATTCTAAGCAGTGTCCCGCGCGGCGTTTTGGCGGGGACCCGTTTTTGCGGCGAGTGGTGTAGCGGAGCGTATCTCTGGCGAATCTCCTCGTGCGGCGCTGTGGCGCGGGGGCGCCTAGTCCCGCCTCTCTCGCACTCGCGGGCCGTCGCGTGCGGGTGCGAGAGAGACGGAGCGAGCGTGCCGTCGTTTTAATCTCTTGTCCAGTGTAGTAGTGGCGTACGCAGGGAGCAGAGCACTACACGCAGCGGGCCGCTTGTGCGAAGCGTGCTGCTGTCACTCTCGCACTCGAGGGCCTTCCCCCGGAGGTGCGAGGGAAGGCTCGTATAGCGTACGCTAATTCGAGTGTAGGCCGCGAGGGGCACTCTGCTGCCCAGCAGTTTCATCAACTGTCCTGACTTATGACGCTGTGTTTCCATCGCGGGAAGAAGACGCGTCTCGAAAACAACAACAACAACAACGTTTACACACTGATTGTCGGAGTGCCGTGTCGCAGTGCGGTGCCTGCCAGCCAAGCCGACGAGTGCACACACCGATTCCGCACAGCGGTTAAGCGCTCCGTCCCTCTCTGGCACGCACACATGAGGCGCCCGGCGCGAGCGAGAGAGACAGAGAGCGACGTTCGGAATGGCTCGGCCGACTGGAGTCGAGGCACACTGACCCGTTTTCCAGCGAGAGGAAGAGGGACGGCGCCTGCGACGGAGGCGCACGCAGGCCCGCCGAGCTGCCGCGCGCCGCGGGTCGGCCTACCCCGCAGGCTGGCGGGCTGTCTAACGCCAGACGCGTTTTGAGCTCCAGAGTCGCTAAATGGGACTCGAGCCGAACGTGTGACCCCACCAATGGATTGCTCTCCGAACGAGAATCCATTGGTGGGGTCACACGTTCGGTTCGAGTCCCATTTGGAGACTCTGGAGCTCAAAACGCGTCTAGCGGTTTGTCCGCCTCCACCGGTCTTCTGGCCCACTGTGGGCCGGCCGGGCAACCCGCCGCGCTGCGGGGGATGGGGGGGGGGGGGGGGGGGGAGCGGCCGGCAAGGACGTTCCTCAACCCGAGAGAACAGGCGCGACGGGTATTGTGCAACGGGCGGCGCGGCCGGCCGGGTGAGCCGGGTGCAGCGGCATGCTGCAGTGGAGTGGCCGGGCGGCGGAGGCGTCGCGGTCCCTGGTGGTGGTCAGGCAGGCAGGCCGGCCAGGCCGGCCAGGCGCCTTGACTGGCCGAGGAAGACCTGGGGCCGTACCATCGCAAAACCAGGACTTCCCGTAACAGGACCCAATTTTGGCACTCCGAAAGTTCTATTAAAAAAAAAAAAAAACGGTACAAAAAATTATTTAATTTTTTTTAGTGTCCCTTTAAGCGATATTTGTGTGTCCATCGGCGATCATTTTGTGATTTTGGCCGGTCGCTTCTCGCTCCACGGCGGTGCAATGTGTAGGCAAACCTGGCCGCCGTGTCCTTTCTGCTCGTCGCCTCGCCTTGGCTGCCTGTGGCCGCCCCTTCGGCCGACTCGGCTGCCTTGGCCCCAGGGTTGCCAGCGACTCACTTTTTTCACTATTTTTCACTATTTCCAAAGTGCCCTCACTATTTCCACTATTGTGGAAATTTTGTCACTTTCGTCACTTTTATGGAGCTCGTGGAGGGTATCATGTCCATTTTACTTCGTTACAAGCATAAATTTGCCTTTGATACAAAACACTGTTCAAATCATCCGCCGCCGGTTTCGTGAGGTCTATCGAGGTATCGAACCGCGCGGCAGCGCTGTGTCGGAAAGTGGTGACTGTTGTCGAGGGGTAGGGAGTTGCCTGCGTCAGGAAGCATGCACTATAGTAAGTGCATGCTTGGCTGGCGTACGCTAGATAAGAGCGTGCTTGTAGGCATGCTCCAGTGAGAGCATACAATGTACGCTCTTCGATTTGTAGAGTAAGCGGAATATATTTCTACTTGCTTTCTACTTGTTTAGATATTTCATCTTAGGGTTTCCACAATAGTGGAATTCTATCACAAATTGATTTGCAGCCATATCATATGACCAAAATGAGTGAAATTTGCCTGCGTTTAAGATTAGATTCTCATGGGGGGAACGCCCAGATAAGATCTTTTGAATAGGACCCCTCGTTGTGTTTGTAACGTCGCGCGGTCAGGCGAGTGAATTAGGAGACGTCCGGCTTCTATTGCGGGCGAGATAGACTATAGTCCATCTAAACAGATTTATTTGTATTCTTAGAGAATTTGGTTCAGTCTTATATTTTAAGTTAAGTTGTGTCCTAAGATCGTTTTGTTTTTAAAGCTTTTCCTTTCATGCTTCTCTTATTGTTCTTTCGAGTTTAAAAGTTCTCCTTAACTTTACAGAACCTTTCCAGTGCCTCTATTTCATGCGCTTTTTCCGGTTTTATTGTCCTTACACCCACATACCATGTATTTGAGCTCCAAGTTAGTGCGAAAAGCGACAATTTTCTACAGATCATAGTGAAATTCAGTCTAAAAAGGTCACCTTATTGTCACTGTTTAGCAAAAAGCCGTCACTTTTTCGTCACTATTTTCAAAGGTGCTAAGTCACTTTTCCACTATTTTCAACAGTTCTGGCCGCTGGCAACCCTGCTTGGCCCTGTTGTTCCTGGGTCACGTTACGTAAAGGGCCTCTTTACATACGGCCCGCCACGGCCGG